AAATAAATAAAATAATAATAATAATAATAATAATAATAATATAATTAAAAGGGTGTAATGATGTTAGCAGAAATGCCAGTGCAATGTGGGATTTTACCACTTTGATTTGAGAGATGTCTACATGGGATGTGGTGTATTGAAAGGATTAAAACAGAGTCCTAATCTAGTTAAACAAACCTCCCTCAGTCGAGCTGTAAAAATAGACAGAGAGGAAAATGAGTGTCCAATTCTCAGAGGGAGGATGTTGATAAACAGCACACAACCACATGCTGCAATATGTTATTTTGGCTCTCATGCTGTGGTGTCAGAGGCCTACTGACACTGCACACTTTGCCATCTGCACATATTGACATCAGAGCTGTAAAGGGACACMTCTTATGGCTGCAGAATGAACTGATGTCACGGTTCCATACCCCTTTGTACCCAATCAGTGGGCTTTGAATGATAAGAAAGGTTATCAGCTGAATATTATTGTTCTCGGTTTTACACCAGAGCCGGGCTGATTCCCTCGTCTTTGCACCGACATCAGCTATAAAAGCACAGATTTTAGGGGAGGTGGAGTCCATTTCTCCTGAAATCTTCAACACATTATCACAGCCGAGAGTATTAGGGAGATATGAAATGAAACTTCACGTTTTTGCAGCTTTTTTTTTTATTCATAGTTACTTTATATTTTTGCAAATGTTCCTTCAGMAAAAGGTCAAACTTGTTTCAGCTTCTTTATTTTCTCTAACAAGTCACGAGGTGAGAAGATCCCTGAAAGCTGGAAAGTGTGCAGGAAAAGCACAATTTAAAACTGTCACACATTTTCTGTTTTTTTTTTTCTGTTTATTCTTCTCACAACCTGTGAAATAACCAGGTTCAGAGTCCTCAGCTCACCTTAACCTAAATCATGGATATGTTTAAAATGCTCCTGTCTATACATTCGATGGTCAGTTTAAAAATTGTGATCAGCACAAGTGACTTTTTGTGTTCAACTGAAATTCAATTTTATCACCACAACATAAAATCTGTCAATGTGAAACTAAAATATAAAAGATTCAACATTTATTTTTTTCTTTAAATGTTTTTTTTGTTCTAAATATAGGCTTTTTAACTTTTATAGACTTACATTGGTGATTTTCAATCAAATCACTGTGCATCTTCTTGTTCAAGTTGAAACTGCCACTTAAGTAAATTATATTTTAATTAAGCTGTTAAAAACTTTAAATCAATTAATAAATGAATACATACTATTTTTCTCCAAACAGAAATTCTAGGGATGCAAGTCTTTTGCAGGTAAGATACTGACTACCCACACTRCCATATGATTACACAGACATATCTCTCCTTGCTAAACTTTTGCTCCTTGTCTTTCAATGTTGTMTTTTCTCTATGATCTCCAAAACTTATCAGACCTAATAGTTTGCTATAGCTCCCTATTCATATAAACAGCTGTTTTTTTTCTCTGTCGTAACCATTGTAGAAAAAGAACCAAACCATTATACAGCTTTTAATTTGTAAATTCAGGTAATGTTGAGCCTGCATAACAAGCCCAGCTGAGTCTAATTTGTTTCRGGAATTTAAATTAATCCCCATTTTGTCTTTATTTTTATGTAATTATGAAAGCTTTATTTTATTTGTTCACTTATTTTTGTTGTTTTCTCTTAGGCTTGGACATTTTTAATTGACAAAATTGGCTAATTAATCTCTGAATATTTTCCCAGATCTGTAATTCTAGTTGAAGGGTGCCAGTAAATCTAACCACTCATATACAGTATCTGCACATTTGTGTTCTGAATTAGGTCTTTTTGCAAATAAGCAGAAAATGTTTGTCACAATGAAGGTGCTCAAAGGGTTAGAATTATTATTTTTCCAAGAAGTGAACTTTAATTATGCCATAGAAGCTGGATGCAAGCTACAGAACTGCGTTGAAAGTCGGATGTGCTCCATATCCTGGCCCCGCATCTATTTTTCTTACTGTACTAGATAAAGGTCACACCAGCTCCTGCATTTGCACGGAACACTTGCACCGGACATAAATCATGCACTGCACACATACGGTATATAATGTGAATG